GGGGGGGCCTTGTCACGGGGGACAGCATGGCACCCTGCAGTCACAGGGCTGGATGCCCACTCCTGACCGCCTCCCAAGGGCAGGCTGAGGACACAGAGCCAGAATGACCAGCAGCAGCCGAGAGGGGAGCAGGGCAAGGGCGCTGCTCTGGGGGCCAGACCCCAAACTCCAGAGCCGGGGCCGCGTGTCTCTGCAGGCAGAGGCGGCCCAGCAGCGGGCACGGGCGGGCGGGCAGCAAGACATGTCTGCACGGCCATCTGGAAGCTGCTGAAGTGGACGGGCCCAGCAGGAGCGACCCCGCCTCCCCCAGGCGGACTGCCCCGGGCCTGGGGAGACCTGAGGTGCCACCCGGAGTGAGCGGGCAGGCAGGGCGCGCCCTGGGGGAGCGGGCACTGGGGCAGGGCCTGGGGGGCACCCAGCACCCTGCCCGCCGTGGACACGCGCCCCGCCCCACGCCTACCTGAGTGTGGCACATCTCCGCCTGCAGGTCGGCCCCCACACACGCGCGCCCCCCAAAGGCAGGTCTGAAAAGAGCCCGAGGTGGGCAGCGGTGACCCGCGGCCCCCAGCAGGGACACGCACCCCCACCCGCCCTCGCCGCGGTACCTGGGGTTGTCGCACCGCCGCCGCCTGGTGACCACACCGCCGCCACAGGAGCGGGAGCAAGGGCTGGGGTGACCCCAGCTGGACCAGAGCCCGTGCACGGCCCCCACGGGGGGCAGCCCCGCCAGCGGGCGGCAGCGGCCTCGGAAGCACCACTGCGGGGGCACAGCGCTCGCACCGCCCCGCCCCTCACACCAGGGTGCGCCCCCACACCCCACCCCCAGGGCCCACCGCCACGACACCCCACGCGGCGGCCTCACCCAGAGCATCCCACACCGCCCCTCCTCCACGCCCGGGGGCAAGGCCCGCCCAGCCCACTGCCTGGCTGACCACCCGCCTTGCCCACCCAGGTGAAGGCAGCTGGCGCTGGGCCGGGCACGCACACACGCTCAGGCCCGCGCGCAACCACGCACACACACGCGTCACACACGTGTGTGCACGCACACGTGTGACGCACACATGCTCACACACACTCACACGTCGTGCACACGCTCGTGCACACACTCGTGCACACGCTCACACGTCGTGCACACGCGCACATGCACACGCTCACCCGGCATGTACACACGCACACACGTCACGCACACACGCTCACACGTCATGCACACGCACACACGCTTGCCCGTGCTCACACTCACGCGTGCTCACACTCACCTGTACACACTCACGCTCGTGCACACTCACACCTGCGCACGCTCACACGCCCCAAACAGCCGACCTTGTCCACGCCGCACTCGGTCCCGTCCAGGAGAGGGATGGGCAGGCGGCTGCAGCCGCTTTGGTCCCCAGGGTCCGTGTGGCACGAGAGGGCCTGGCACATATCCTGAGGGGGGCACTGGTCAGTCCAGGGGCCACCGGGCCACCCCCTGCCTTGGCTGCCCCCGACCGCCAGCCACGCTGACACAGCCGGGGCGGCTTCGCCTGCTCGGGGGAGGGGTTGGGGGGGACAGGGCCTCTCCCATCCGGATCAGGGGCAGTGACAGGAGCCAGCGTCCTTCGGACGTTCACGAAATGTAAAGCCAGGGGGCCCCGGTCAGGCGCAAGAAACACTCCCGTGTGCACAGGTGCAGGGCGGCGCACACTCCTCAGACTTGCTATGCTGTGAAGGGCCCCCCAGCCCTGCGGGGGTCTCTCGGGTGCCAGCCCCCCACAGCTCCCCCACGGCTCGCTCGGGCCCAGGGCCCTGCAGCAGCCCCTTCCTTAAGCTCTGGGGCCACCAAGCCCTGGCCTGGATGGTCGGGGCCACTCACAGCCGGCCATCCATAGGTCACTAAGAGTTGCGAGGCCCCTGAAGCCCCTCCCCAGACACTCACAAGCACTCCGAGGGGCGCCCCGGGTTGAGCCGGGGCCAAGGGTCAAGCGGGGATGGCGTGGCCCCCACGAAGTCCCCCAAGGAGGCGGGGCTCACCAGGTGCCGGCTGGCGAAGCTGCAGGCCACGGCGGAGGGCCCGAAGGCCACGCGGCACTGCTCATCGGCGCCGTAGTAGAGGCCCGGGTGCGCGTGCAGAGGG